CTGCAGAAAACTGCAGCAGCATCTCTGCGGGATTGATTAGTTAACTTGCAAAATCATTGAGGAAACGCTGTTAATATAATAATAGAGAAACATTTCGGGAACGGCTTTACCGTGCCCTATGTACACAAAATGCAGCGATTCGCCCTAGCGCTACACTTGCATCTACGCTTCTTGCATCTTGACGGCTGTCGCAATTTAACACACAGCCCTTCATTGTATTAGTTTTTACGCAGTCTTCAACTCAAAAANTTTAACACACAGCCCTTCATTGTATTAGTTTTTACGCAGTCTTCAACTCAAGAATCACTCACAAATTGCAAATTAACACAATTTAAACTGATTTTTCACTTATAATTAAAATTTCTCTTTCACTGATTTGTAAACTAAGGTTTGTTTACAAGTAACCACAACTGTCAAAATTCGCAAAACCAAAGTAGCGGTACCACTGACGGCGCCACCTTTGTTCGCTGCTCCGTGTATTGATACCATGAACGAAAGACACAAGATCCCGTAAGAACAAGGGAGTGAAAAAAGTCGATTTTTTTTAGCGGGTTCTACGCCATCTTGTTTCACTGGAAAACGAGCGAAAAGTAAACAAAGTAAACAAAGCAAAGAAAACAACAAAACCAAAATTAGCCAAAATTATTGTCAGCCACTTTAAACGCACAATTTAGGTAAAATGATGCAACAAAATGCTTTAAAATGTGTTGTCATGTTGAATTAACTCTTCTTTACTTGAATAAAAGTGTAAAATAGTAATGCTTGTGATGTAAACAAACGCTCAGCTGACGAACCCGCTTTCGCAAACTTTTTTCTCAAGACCAGTTACAAATACAACGTCGCGTTCTTACGTGATCTTGTATTTTTGGTTCATCATGAACGAAAGACACAAGATCACGCGGGAAGGAAAGAACGAAAAAAGTTATTTTTTAGACTGCGTTTATACACGAAAACTTTTGTCGCCTCGATTTTTCGCAATCCCTTTTGGTGTTGCTCGTTTCATTTACACACGGCGATTTGTGTGTATGCAATTGTTGTTGTCAGATGTGAACAGCGGTTCAATTTACACAGACAAACGAGAGCACAAAGCGTGTTGCCCGAACACGAGCAGCTCGGTGCCCCCCTCCTTTCCTCGTCCATGGTTCATGGTATTATGCGCGTTCCTTATCTCCCAGAAATAGTCAGAAAAAGTCCGAAGTAGTCAGATTTAGTCCAAAAAGCGTTCCTTAACTCGGAAATGACAGCAAAAATGAGAGAGCAACAATCAGTGAGAGCGACTCTCATCAGTCCGAAGTAGTCAGATTTAGTCAGAAGAATTTTTTCTGGCAAAATCCTGAAAAGTGTCAAAATCAACTGAATTTAAATTAACGGAAATTAAAGAATACGCAAAAAGTGAGAATAATCTAAAAAGTAAAAGAAATGAATTGAAATTGGAAGGAGGCAAAAAATAATTGATATAGCAAGTGTTTATTGTGCTTGTGCTTGTGCGAATGTGTTTTGTACATACATTTCTGTTCTTATTTGACGTTAGTTTTGTTGTTGCCCTTCTTTGGACTAAAAATTTGGTTTTTTGCGTTCCTTTACTTTTCCTGTTACTCTCTTTTAGTGAGCGCATTTTGCNGCAACTTTGATGAGTAAAAAAGCGGTACAACATTCTTTTCTTGGCGTTCATTGTGGCATACCTTTTGCGTCTGGCGCTTTGCTGGCAAAGTTATAAATGTCACGCAGAGCTACAAAGTTTTATCTGGCATCAGCTTTAAGAGCAAAGCGTACACGCACATTTGTAATTGAAACTATGCTCTTCGATTTGCTCGCCGGTACACCATGTTCTTACCCTAATAGCGATTTCTTTTCTCGAAATAATATTGCCTTTTTCTGCCCTGCGCCAGGGCTGGCAAGTTTTTGTGTTCTTTTCTCAGCATCTTCACATGCAATTACGTGCTTTCTCTTTAAAATGTTGCACTCTGATAATGTTGCCATATAAGGTGGCATTTTTTTCCCCCCGAAAAAAGAAAACGCCATAAGAGTGCGCGGGTTGGGGTCTGCCACTCAAACCAAAATACCCATCGACCTTTTTGATTTTTGTCGTCTCGATTTTCATTAAAATTTTCCCGTGCGGCATTGTGGAACAGCCGAACGAAAAATTCTAAAACATGAATCGAAAATCAAATAATTTCATACTTTCATACTTATCCTTTCCCATGTAAATTAAGGCCGGTGGCGAAACCACATCACTTTGAAAATAGAAAACCATTTTTATAAACTAGTACACATATAATATATGTTTGGGCATCATTACACAAAACTCAAAACTTATTTTTCAACTACGTTCCAAACTTTTGTTTTACTAAAGTTATTTAAAAACCGGCTACTAGATACTTTCCGAAATTACAGAACACAGTGTGAGTCGGATGATATATTAATATAAATTGTTAAACCAAGGTTTACACGTCGTCGCCTGGGTAAAATATTGTCGGAAGCCATTTTTGACGATTTTTAGTTCTAGATGCAGTTATATATTTTGAAATAAGGTCTTTCGATTGGTGTTATCAGTTTTCAGATACCTCCTTTAGTTTCCGAGATATTGACTACAATTTTTTCGATAATTTAGTAAAAATTTAGTTAGTGATGCAGCCATATAAAACTAATTAATATCTTAAAAATTACGTTCTTCATTCTTGAATACTTTCTTTAATTTCCGAGATATTGAGAAAAAAGTGTCGTTCATACAAAGTGGCTGCCAAATTGTGGACAAATGACGCTAATGACAAAATTTTACTATAGAAAATCCTTCATAAACTCCAAACTAATAACAAAAATCATTAAATAATTTAAGAATTTTGTGAACTAGTAACATTTTCACAGACTTTGGAGAAAATCCCATTCCAAACAATCCAATCCAATTGCATTCCAAACTTCAATCGCGATTTCCCACAACATGCCGAAATTAACATACGACAATCTTTTACCCACGCGACGACGTGTAGTCATCACAACAAATTAACATTTGGTTTTGATTTCTACCACTATTATTTTGTATGTACTAATATAATAAATACGACTAGAACATACTACAACAACAACAACTTGAACACATAAAAAATCCGACAAATTAAAATATTTCATATAAGGCACCCTACATATTCTGTGACCAAAGCATTTTCGCTTGATATATTTTTTAATAAGATGGATAAAATTTTCTGTGGAATAAATCAAAATCAGATCTAATAAAGAATTAGATTTTGGTCAATTAAATTAACTAAGTCTGAACTACGGTCGCGTGTCGTTATCTAGAAAATGTGATTGTGTACAAGAATCGGTGAAAATCCGTGGCCGTACATAACTGGGAAAACAATAGAATTTTCAACTTGTAAATACTCTGGATAAAAAATTACCAAATAATAAAATAATGAAACAGAAAATGAATGCTAATTGGCACCAGTGAATAAAAAAAGTATGGTATCAATGTTTGCTGTCCTAAAACAAGTCTTCGGTTGACGTGTGAAAAATCAATAATCTTACGCAAAAAGAAGCTTGGACATTTGAGTGTTTTACCACACCCGTAATACACGAGAACACACAACATGACGTGATTGGTAAGATTAGACATTACATTTACTTTTAAACTAAACTAAAGTTATAATAGAAATTATTTATTTATTTGAAAAACTTTGCTGCGGACAGGAATAACAATTTTTATTTGGTGCTTATAAGTATACTTATTTACAGTAGCAATTTGCCTAACTTCTTTTGTAACTATCAAAGAAATAAACAATTATTTTTTAAGATTGTTCTTACAATCTTAAGGCTTAAATAAAAGCATCTGACCAATAAATCTACGCCGTCGCGGCAGTGCAGAGCGTCTCGTCTGTCGCGAAAAGAAATTTGATTGCAAATTTTTATATGCCCACATTCTATATTTGTGGTTTTTTGCCTAAATACCATATATGTATATGAAGCCGACTTTTAGTTGAAGTTTTAGTTAGGAAATTGAATTAAGGCTGCCAAACCGTCCAAGAAAACTTTGTAAATGCAAAAAAATGTATGTTTCCCCCATTTCCACTCATTTCTATTAAATCTGCATCTTTAAGATTTTAATAGGACGGCAGGATTTCTCCCGAAAACATCGAAGAAATTAATTAATGGAGAAAGTACAGTGGCTTTGTAAAGGTGTATTACAAGGCTACAAAACGATGTTTTCTAGTCGAATAGATTCAACTTTTGTAACAAATTCTTTTCCTCCTTAAAACAAAAAAAAAAATGTTTTCCATAATATTAAATAAACTAAATGAAGGATTTTACAAATGTGGAGGTTTTAATTAAAAAAATTGAAAAATATCCTTTGGGATTAGGATTTAAATTAAACTAAGATTCTGCAAAATTTATCAAAAAACTTAAGAGTAAAATTTATAAAAAGCATGTTTGGCATGTTTCTAATGGATAATTGAAACCACATTGTTTCGAATTCCTCTCTCAATTGATACCCATATATCCCTACTTTGTGCAAACTTTTCGAAATATATTAGGGGTATTCTCTGAGTCTTGCAAAGCCCTTGCACGGTGCACGGATTGCACGGTTTGCAAAGCTGTCCCATACGAAAACCGGTTTTTACCTTGCAATCCGTGCAATCTGTGCACCGTGCAAGGGCTTTGCAAGACTCAGAGAATACCCCTATTATAATTTATGGTCCTTTGCAAAAAACCCCGACTACCTGAAAAAAAAAACAAAAACGCGAATTACGCTTTCACGCATTAACTACTCGACCCATTATCATGAAATTTTATACACTGGTATCGTTTAGCGTATAGAACATATATATTTAGTCTCGATTAGACGAGGGGCGTGACACCTCCTATACAAACGGAGTTTTTCATACCGCATATTAAGAAATATTTGTGATAGAGTAATGGAACTTGGTATTTAGATACATACAGTATCGGTCATATCTATAGCACGCCATTTCAAAGTGATATTGTGTGTCACTTATTTTTATTTATTGACTTTTAAGAATTTTCAATTAAAATATAGTTCATTCTTAGACAAACCCGATACAAACCCAAGGTTAATAATTTGTAGAAAGCTACAAAAAAGTGCAACAAATTTTCACATAAATTTCAAACTTTTTTCTCGGAAGTGTTAGAATTTTAGGAATTTAGAATGAACTGTATTTTAATTGAAAATTCTTAAAAATAAATGAATAAACATCAGTGGCACACAATATCACTTTGAAATGGCGAGCTATAGATATGACCGATACTGTACATACATTTATAAAATCAATTCCCTACTGATGGAAGAGGAGGGCATCGTACTGTTTAAAAAATTAAACTCAGTTTGAATTAGGGGATTTATTAATTTGAAAATTATATTAAAAATGCATGTCAAGATGTTTTTTTAGATTTGCAAAGCAACTAAATGGCACCTTATTCAGTAATAAAAAACTACAACTGTTTAAAGATATTGACCCCTATTGCGAGTGTCGACTGGCAGTAGAATAGAAATTTGTCGATCGAGTCGATCATCTTTTATTTTGCTTTGCGTAACTTGATCGATAAAAATTTGTATTATTGTGAATGGTTAACTGAATTGTAAACAGCTGTTTGTTTGTTTACATTTGTTTCTTTAGTGTTTCATTTACATCATTTTTAAAATTGCTTTTATTATAAAATTTAAAAAATTGATGCGGTTGAAATATGGTTTAGTGATGAGGAAGATGATGCCAAAGCTAATAGATTTGTAGAGTTGGCTTAGGGTTGCCAGTACGTTAGCCTTTTCCATTCTAAAAAATCAGTACTTTTCAGTACGTTTTTATTCAAAGCAAAGTTATGAATGTAAGTAACAAAAAATAATTTGCAACGCCAGAGTTTTTGTTTTTAACAATATTTTGGTATATAAATAAAATAAATTCCCAACAAGCAAAGTAAACTTAAGGAACGTTTTTTTTTAAGTTTTCAATTATAAACATTAAGCTTACAAAACGTTGATTTTTTGTTTATAAAACGCTTGAAAGTAAGCGTAATATAATCGAAAAGGAACATTGGTTATAAGCGTAGAAATATAAACTTGTAATAAATGTTCAAAAGAAAGCTTTTTATAAGCGTAAAAGTGTAAACTTATAATAAAGGTTCAAAAAAGTTGTTTATAAGCGTATGAATATAAACTTACTAAAAATTTTCAAAAGAAAGCTTTTTATAAACATTTTTATAACCCTTTATTTAAAGATATTTAATTAAAAAATAATACATAGATTGCTTAACATCTAGAAACTAAAAGAAATGCGAATTTTCGGCGGACTCATCTACAGTCGCGAAAATATAAATAGGGAATAGACATTTTAGCATACAAATTCACGATAACACACAAAAATTAAGCATACAAAAGTTAATTATTACATCTTGTTGCGTGTTTTCAATTACATGCGGTTATTGGCAAATTGGAAAAACGACATCGATGAAGCTATATATTCCGGTTCATCGCCGCCATTCTCATTGATGAACTTTTCTGAAAAAAATTTAATACATTTTTAATTGAATGTTAAACTAAGAAAGGATAAGGAGAACTCATCATTCGAAGATAGCGCAGCGGGTCCTGGACTGGATTTTTTTTTACCGCATGGGTTTTATTTAATTTTTTCTTTTAATAATATATTTAAAAAAACGTAAACACGTCACTTACTATTTAAAAAATGTTATATTTACTACTTCATGTCGTTGGCATTTGCATTTCATTTATAAGTTTAAGTTATTTATTAAGGGTTTATTTGAAAAAAACATTTAGTAAGCTTAATATTAAAAATGCTTATTTAACGCTTATTATAGCAAACTTACTTTAAGTTATTTTTAAAAACATTTACTGAAATGCTTGTTGGGTTATTTTATATTTGTGACATTTTTGAGTAGCAATAATGAGATTTTTCGCATACAGTGTTTAAATAGTCAAAGAATTCTATACATTTCATTTTAAAATTACTTTTAATTTGAAGTTTACTTTCAAAAATTTTAATGAGAAGCCGGTTTCTCTCTTTGCGCTAGGAAACAAACTTTATTCTAAAAGTGAAAGTAAATAACGTCTATTGCGTCACCGCCAACGTCACCGTCAGTTGCCAAAAAAGTTAAATTGGTGTATTCGTATGAAGCAAGTTACATGAACAAAGCTGACGGTGACTGTGACGCACAAATTAGCTCAACTTTCAACTTTGCTTATGCGTGACAACTATTCTGTGTTTTGTTTACATATCTGAATTTCAATTTTTTCAGTTTGTGAAAATTTTTGGATTTATTGAGATAAGAAATGTAAAATATGATGAAAGAAAAGTGCAACGCAATTTTTGCAGAGTAGCAGCGAGTTTTTGATTTTACGCACGCAATGGTGAACG